CTGCTCTTAATTGTTGTGACACGTGTTCGAAATGCAGAGAGGTGCGCTCGATTTGCCACACGGAGCAGCGCGAGAGTAAAGCACGAGGGAGGGGCTAATAATCGGCTCAGTCATTTTTAATGATCGTTGAAAGCCCAGATCGTAATCGAGATTAAAATTCGATTAATTGAGCAGCCCTACTGTTGTGTGTGTTGCAGGGTTTCTCTCAGCTTCCCCTCATCGGTCAGTACAGCCTGAGGAAGCAGCCATACAACAACCTGAAGAACAAATTCACCTGGCTGTCTGATGCTGGACACAGACTGCTTAACCTGCTCTTCATGTACAACCCCCAGCGCAGGTACATTTAGCTCTACTGGTTTCTGGCTGGAATCTAGACTACAGCTCTGATAAAGCTAAGCTTCTTTTGTGGGGAAAATGAAGGAGTCACATGAATTTGCATACGAGGCATCACTAACTTCTTGTATTTTTCCTGATTCTCAGAGCTACTGCTAAAGATTGCTTGGAGAGTTCGTACTTCAAAGAGAAACCTCTACGTGAGTATAAAGATTGCGGATATGCACAAGCTGACGTCTGTCTGTCCTCCGACCTGCCGTGAGTCATTCTGTGTGCCTCTGTGCTTCTCTTTCCAGCCTGCGAACCAGAGCTGATGCCAACATTCCCTCACCATCGCAACAAGCGAGCGGCTCCTCCAGCAGAAAGCCACTCGAAGAGGAGCAAAGTGTGAAGAAACACTGGACTTACAGGCACACCTCTGCTGGGAAAATGGCCACACTCATGAAGAGCTTTTACTGTGGAGCTTTGAGCTAGTCCAAACCAGAATCAGCTTCAGCACAGCTGTAGTGAAAAGGCAGACAAACTTACTGCTGGACTGTTAAAAAAAGGGACACAGAGTCTACAGCGAGCAGTCAAGAAAAGGCTGGAAGTACAACCTGCGGTCTGAGGTGTGGTCTGAGAGCACAGCACATTCATCAAAGAAAGAGAAACGGCCCCATTTTAGATTTTGTGTCTGAGTTACCATTTCCAACGGCAAGTAAGATGCTACAGTTACGAGAAGAGACTTCATAATCGCAAATTCTAGAGTGGCTTTGCATGGTTCACAGTTCAAAATCATCCTTGTGTATCCTCTCAGTTCATCTTCTATCAGAAACAAGCTGTTTTAATTCCTAATTTTAACTCTTTCACCTGTAAAAACATTTGACAACCTTCTCTGGACCGTTAATGACACCTCAATATATAATATGTGGTGTGAGTAACCTCATTAACTTCTGATTCACACACAGCCCTTAAAATATGACAGAAAGCACAAAAAAGAAAAAACAAGTGTTTACCCATAGTAGGCATCCAAGGAGGAAAGAGTTAAGGCAGCTGTCCTCTGATTGGCCTTTCCTTCATTAACAGACGGCCTGAAAAGCCGGCTGTGCCTTAGACGAACATATTGGGGATATTCCCTCTCTGACATCATAAATGTCCCTGTTGAGAGCAGCTTGAAGCCTGAGCTTTTGGCATATTCTTATTTAAAACTTTGACAATGTTTAATTTGAATCTAATAAAGTTTAATAAACGTCTGGAACAGGAACAGTGTATAAAAA